GCCTGCGCCCCGGGCGGGGGCCGGCATCGTCCTTGGGCTCCTGCGAGCGCCGCAGGCTCAGGGAGGGAGGAAATCCGAGAGGCTCTTCCTGCAGGTCGCCGAGGCTCGGGTGCAGCGTGCCCAGCGGGGATTGGGAGGGAGGGTGGACAGTCTGAAGACCTGGGTTGGACCTTGCTAAGCTGCCATTGCATTTGAGCGTTCATGGCCTCCGAAAGAGATGCTTACCTCTAACTGAACTTATCCTTGCTTAATCTTTTCTTTTTTTCCTGCTCTGCCGCTTTTTTGTGTTCTCAGAGGAAGGAGGAATGCGCGAACGAGGAATCAGGTATTTATTGGAGGCCCGTCTATGAGATGGAGTAAATTAACCAGAGAGATGCAACTGTACTCTACTCAAAAAAACGACCAACCAAAGCCCCTAAGGAAAACAAATGTCCCCTTAGGCAGTCAGACGTGGCTCACGTTCCCCCTTGAGCTCCTTCCACGAGGGGCCTGGGGAGAAGCAGCTTTGAAACAAAAGCCCAAAGGCACTGCAGGTTCAATACAGGCAGTTCATTTCATACACTGTGGTGTTCAGGGTTTGGGGTTTTTTTTAGCATCTGCTGACAATGGCTCTTTCTGTAGGTGGAAATACTGTTGTAAGCTCTGTTGCTGGAAGCTTACTTTATCAGACAGGTATAGCACAAGTTTTACTTTGGCTCAGCATTACACCTTTGAAATGGAATAGCTGTGATCCTGTTACATCAGTCCCCTGTCTCAACCAGATAGTGAGCGGCAGTCTTTCACGTGCTTTAGTGAAAGCTTTTTTTGTGCATAATTGACTGCACATAGCATACTCAGCACTTTTTGATGTCTTGATGCGTGTAACGCCTCCTTTTCTTGCCTGTCCTCTTACTAAACTCAATGGCACTGATTTTTCAGATTTCTGTTTTTGCAATCTTTAATGCATTTCCTATGCTTTGGTATCAATAAACCAGTAACTTTTTACTTTTCCCTTTCCTTTCATGAAGGATTCAGGACAGGCTATTCCGCTTGTAGTAGAAAGCTGCATTCGTTACATCAATTTGTACGGTAAGTTGATTCAGCGATATCAACAGAAACTTTGCAAAGGAAGTTAAGTACTTGTAATTAGCAGTGAAAAATAGTAGAGATGCTCGCAGCCCTTGCTGCCGGGGCTCAGGTTATAATTACAGTGGCATTGACTGCGACATTGCGTTGGATGACTGGCAGATATGTAGGTCTTGTTAGCATTTATTCAGGTTAAACTGTTTGCTGAGGCCCCAGGCCAACAGGAGCCCTTTCAGCCCTTTGATCCAGGGGGCCTTGGTAGGAGAGTATGAGCAGAAATGAATCGTGGCAGGCTGTCCCCTTCTTGCTCAGAGCCTTTCTGGGTGCATCGACTCCTAGTTTCTGCTGTTCTTTACCAGAAAATACCGCGTAACAGTTATAGAAATCTTTTCTAAAAGGTTGTTCTTTTCCAGGCCTTCAGCAGCAGGGCATTTTCAGAGTCCCCGGCTCCCAGGTGGAAGTCAACGACATCAAGAACTCCTTTGAGAGAGGTGTGTTGCCAGGGTGTGCGGCTGCAGCTGGGGGTTTCAGTGTGTGCTGGGCGCATTAGATGTTGTGTAAAGCCTGTGCTAAACGCCTTTCCGCTACGAGACACGAGGAGGTTTTGTCCCCTTCTAGGTGTCTCAGTATTGTATCTCCAGCACTAGCAAAGAATCACTTAGGGCAAGAGTATGAGAAGTAAGGGTAGGTGCAGAGATCTTTTCCACAGTCTTTAATTAAGAGCATGAAAGCCTCAGAGAGCCATGAAATAGTTTGTTGGGGATCCAGTTTCCTCCTTCCTGCAGCGGTTTGCCAAGGGAAGGGCAGCATTGCCACGGGCACCTGCTGGCACTGTTGGTTGTGGAGTTGCCAGTGATTCTGTTGAGAAAATTGCATCGAAGGTGCGAGGCTGGCAAGAGGGCAGAGCGATCCTGCTGTCACCGAGTGAAGGTGAAGCTGTGCACGGGACAGTCTAGATGGGAGTAAGGGCCTCCATGGCATTAATCTTTGAGCAGCGTCGGAAGTGTCAGGGTGGAGGTGGCCAGGCCAATGAATAAGGCAGTGGTGGGATTGTCAAAGGCGGAGGATTTGCACATCCAATTTAAGAGGAATCGCTATCCAAATCCCTTAGGCAGTGAAAGCCTTTTATAGGTTTAAGTCAGTACAATGCTATCCAGAACCGTTCAGTCTATTCCAGAGGCATAATTGCATCCTCCAGCCAAGCCTGTCTTCTCAGGCTTTCACCCACCATCATTTAGATCTGCTCAGCTCTCTGTGCTGTTGCCTTAAATAAAAAAAATGCACTGGGCTGGAAACTGTGAAGCAGAACTGATTAATAACATCCTCATCTTCAGGAAAGGTTTAAAATCTCCACAATAAACTGTTTTTTAGTATGTAGGGCTATAGCGTGTCTCAGCGTGATGCTGTGTGACAGACTACCTTATTAAACTCTCCTCTTGCTGGAAAAATGTGTAGCATTACCATTCCACACAGAGGAGGGTTTTCTGAACTGTGGGAAATTTGGGGTTTCCATGGAGTTAGGAAGAAATACTTGCTGTGTCAGTCCAACTTGATAGTAATGCTGGAAATAAAAACTCTTCTCTGGGCAGGTGAAGATCCCCTTGCTGATGATCAAAATGAGCGTGACATTAATTCAGTGGCTGGAGTCTTGAAGCTGTATTTCCGAGGACTGGAAAACCCCCTCTTTCCTAAGGAAAGGTTTCAAGATTTGATATCTACTATAAGTAAGTACATGTGACAGCTCTTCTTGGAGAATAGGGTGGGACAAGAGAAGCAATAAAAAAGGGGCAAGTACACCTGAGTTTTGCAAATAGCAGCTTATGCTGTAAGAAGGGCTATAGGTCTGCAATGGAAGTTGTTAGGAAAAGACATTAAAAGCGTGCATTGGCAGCGCTGGAGGCGAGGGAGAGGTAAAACATCTTGCTATGTTTTAAATTCTTCCTAGCATCATGAGCATCACAGGAGAGTCCTCTCCAAGCTTAGGCCAGTGGGCTGCACATGCAGCAAGCCCGTGTGCTCATTTGCGGGTTGCGTGAGGGGTCATTAATTGCGTGAACAGGGCCGGCTGCTGTCCTGCCTGCACAGATCTCTGCTGGTAGTGCGGTTCCTGTGCCTGCCCACCACGTGTCACGCAGCCGTGGCTCCTGGGACCCAAAGGGTTTTGCTGCTCGAACTCAGTGCCTTCTGCTAAACGTGGTGACGGTCGATAACTCTTGGCCACTCACAAAGCTTCTCCAGCCCTTGAGTCTGCAGGCTTGGTTTCAGCCTCACTCGACCAGCTGTTCTCTGAGTGTTTGCTGTGTGCATTTCCTATCCCAAAGAACACCAGAAAGTGTTTTAGGATGTGAGCAGAGGTGGAAGCTGAGGGTTTCTAATCATGAAGGTCTGGGACTGATGTCAGGGAGAGCCTGGTTGCTTCTTGTTCTGTCCTGAATTGTCCTCCCAGCTCCGCTTGTTCGTCGGCAACTGAAAAAGCAGATATCCCGTCTGGGGCTTATTTCTGTCAGTACCTTATAGTGGTGACATTGATTTATTGGCAAGTCGTGGAAATTACTCCCCTAGGGGAAAGGAAGAAGGCAGAATGAATCTGATGTTCCAGAGATGATGGAGGAGCGTGTTGCGCGCTTTGGCTACAGGATGACTTTATTTTACAGGAGAGGCATTGGGGTTGTTTGGGGCTTTGAGTGTCTCGGTACGTGGGTAGCTTCAGGGGGATTGACTGGTGAACACATACTGAAGTCCTTCGTTTGGCTTCACCGCTCATGGCTCCTTCCCCCTTCTTAGTGTTCGTGCGCATAACTGCTGGAGATTTAGTGAGGTCAAGAAAGACAGATGGTGTCTAGAGGGGAATGACACAGGGATGGGCTTGTTCCAAAAGGAGAAGAGTGTGCTCTTATTTTTCAGGAACAGTTGTTTTTTATAGTAGCTTTAGGAAATTCACTGTTGCCTTTCAGTTTTGATGTGTAAAACAACGCAGCACACCTGTAACAGGGCAAACAAGCTGTTTCTGCACCAGTTTTAAGCTCCGGACAGGAATTTTTAGCCTGGCTTGCAGCGGTCGCTCCGGCTGCCCTCCCCGAGGGGCTCGCAGCAGGCAGAGCCGGGAGCCTGAGAGGGCACAGCCCACGAGAAGGGGACGGTGCTTGATGATGTGACGGTCTGCGTGCTTGCAGATAGGCTTGTGCTTTGGAACCATCCCTAATTTAATGCCAGTTTGCACAGTTTATTAAGCTTTTTGTTGCAAACATAATCTGTTAATTTTCTGAATAGTATTCTCTTCTCTCTTTCTTTACTTTTTCCCATTTTAGCAAGAATCTTTCTTTTCCTCATCTTTCCTTTCTTTTCCTGCTGCTGTTGCTACCTTTCGATTAAGGATAGATTTTTAAATGGATTAAAGGGCCTTCTTCCCATTAAGCATCCGACCTTAAGTGCATCTGACTTTCTGCCACGTAAATATAGGCTGTGTCACAGGTGTTCCAACCTAAACAGATTGCAGAAACCACCTTTCTTTGAGACCCACTGCTCAGTAAAATGTCACCCTTGCTGTAAGATGTTCTGTCTCATTTTGTAATTACGACGGAAAGGTTAAACGCAGCCGAGCGGTGTGGGCTCTCCACCGCAGCGCCTCACGAAGCCGCCCTGATTTCCCTGGGCTCCTGGTAAGGTATCCTGAGCGAGTTCTATGGAGCCGGTGCTGCCGCGTGTGTCGCAGGGCCTCTGAGCGCCCTGGGAGCTCCAGAGCCGCACCGTTCCCTGCCGGCGCGGTGGGGAAGCCAGGCTTGCTGGTGGGAGATGAAGGGCTGGCTTTTCCTTTTGCTTGGGGGGGACTGAGGGTTTACGTGGAAGCGTTTCTCAAATGCACACGAGAAATAGATGGATAGAAAAAAGGCACTTTGTTTGCAAGGGTTCATTCAGGGGTGTGCCTGTATTGTAGAGTGATTGATGATTACTCCAGTAATTGCTCTGAATTACAGCCAGTTGAAACGTTTTGCTAAGTGAAAAAAAGCAAGTGCTTCAAGACAGTTTGTTCCTCTGGATTTCAGAACAGATATCTGTTGTTGTAGGTTTTTATCCTGTTGTAGGTTTCTATTGTTGTAGTTTTTATTATTTGATTTTACTTTATTTTTTACAAATGTCCTCTTAAGTAAAACCAAACTGAAGAAGTAGAGAACCCAGTAAGCAATAACAGAGGATGAATAGATTCCTCAAAAGGGAGAATTTCCCAAATGAAATATTGTAAGGATTTCCGTCTTTGTACTGAAACCAAATTTTGCTAAGAATTTTGAACAAACGGCAGCCCAGCTACGTGTTGTCAGTGAATTTTATTATGATTAGCAAATGTCAAAGTTTGAGCCAGCATAGTAAAGTAAGCATCTCTTCCACGCATCTGAGGCTGACTGCTCTCAGGATGGCTGCGGTACTCTTTGCCTGCTTTCTGTAAAACGAAAGCCACAGGATTAACTATCTACAGACTCTATTGAGCAGATAGTAGCTTAAAAAGACCAGTAGCCTTGGGGGCTGGAATGTGCTGCCAGCTGCTGCAGGACGGCGCTGAGCCCCCTTGGGCTTTGGGCACTGCTACGGAGAGAAGGGAATCTTAAAGGGCTGACTCGGAACCGGTTCAGGTTAAATTGCTGTTAAGACCAGTGGGAAACTGGAGCAGAAGGCCTCAGAGGGACCTGAGGGTTAACCCATAAGAGTAACGTGAGCAAAAACCTCATTTAAAAATCTGCACTGGAAAACCAAGCAGTGCTCTGTTTTCCAGTGCCACATTGACTCAAGCGTTTGAGGAGTAGAGTAGTTGTTGAGAAATGAGCTGAATTTCCGTAACACTATGGAAATGTTTTTATTTGCTGTTTATACTGAAGCTGAACGTACGTGTGAATTGACCCATGGAAGAGTGCTATGCCCAATTCTCTGCTTGCACCTTAGTGCCAAACTAGCAGATGAGATCTGGAAAGGGGCTGTTGTTTTCCTTGCATAGTGGGCTACTAGATCTGGAACGAGTCCCTCTGGTGCCATGTTGTCTGGTCCTGAGAAGGTTTAAAGATGTGCTTTCTATCCATGTGTTGCAGAAATCGAGAACCCCAGCGAGAGAGTGCACCAGATCCAGCAAATCATCATCACTCTGCCTCGGGCTGTCATCGTCGTCATGAGATATCTTTTTGCTTTCCTCAATCAGTGAGTCTTTTTTTTTTTTTTTTTCTTCCCTCCCTCTTTCACTGAGTTTCTCCTTGCCCTCCTTTTTTTCAGGGAATTCCTGTCTTTGTTGCTTGAGTCCTTTTTGGTGTTGCCATGGAGAGTTGTATTTTGCTTCTTCCTCAGCCTTGTCTAGCCATGGCTGTGTGTTTGGGGAAGATGGAGAGCTCAGTGATGATTGCTTTCTTAGGCGGTGGGGCTTTGTTGGTGGGAGGTTTTTCTCATTGAACGGGGAAAGTCGGCGCCGTACATCCCTAACCCTTGTGCTTGCAGCTTGTCACAGTACAGCGATGAGAACATGATGGATCCCTACAACCTGGCCATCTGCTTCGGGCCTACTCTGATGCACATTCCAGATGGGCAGGATCCGGTGTCTTGCCAAGCCCATGTCAATGAGGTCATCAAAACCATCATCATTAACCACGAGGGTATCTTCCCCAGCCACAGAGAGCTGGAAGGACCTGTCTATGAGAAGTGCATGACTGGAGGGGAGGAGTACTGGTAAGGAGTGCAGGACTTCATGGGCTGCAGAACTTAAAGGTGGATACCCTTGTTAGGGTTATCTTCTGGCGCTGTACGTTAAGGGTGAACCTGTGGCAAAACGCAGAGCTTTGGCTTGATTCCTGGCAGGCGGAGAATTGACCCCAGCTCACATGAGTGCAGGAGAAGGGATCTCGGGAGCAGATCCCCGAGAGGATGGGGTGTGAGGAGGGCTTTGGAGAAAGTTCAGACTTAATATTCAGGGCAGCCAAGCACGGCACTGGGGTGAATTTGCCCCTCTGCAGAAGGGGCATGCCTTTTTACACTTTTTCCTGTTAAGCGTTATGAATTAGGTGTGCAAATGATACATATTTGATATGCTTGTGCTGTTTTACGCTGGTTAAGAATCTTACTCCATACCAGGCTGTCTCCATGGTTCTTAGTTATAAGTACCTTCATAAAACTAAGAGGATTTTGCACACCTTGTATATATAAGTCTCTCTCTACTTAAATACATCAGTTGTGCTTTTCACTTTAGCCTTGCCAGTTAAAACAGAGTAGGCAATTTCACCGGGTATTTCTCTTTCTCATGCTGAATCAGCATTATAAACATCAGTAAAAACTTCAGGAGCAACTTTTTTCCAGTATGAATATTAATATTTATGAAGATTATTTTAGCTGCAGATTCAGAGAAGGGTGTTCTGTGCAAAGAGCACAGAATTTTAGGTCAATTCTAACCAAATTCCTCCTAGGCTGGAATTTTTGAGTAAAGTCCCATAGTTGGTCATAATTTGCTAGTTGGGTGAAATCCCTTAGCCCAGAGTTAACCTGAACCTTCCAGTTCCTTTTGTTTTGTCAGTGTTAGAAGACAGATGAGTTTGCATTAGCCGTGGATGAGATCAGCTGGTGTGCGATTGCATTGCATCGCATCTTTCTGGTGTACAGAATACTTGGTGTACCCGGGATAGGAAAAGTCCACAAACTCCCACATTAGAAGTGTAAGTGATACTATTACACACTTGTCTGGAGGATGCTGGAATTCTGAACTGACATTCAGATCTGAGTTTTAACAAACCAGTATTTATAACAGACTTGAACTGATTTGTGTGCAAGTTTTATACATTTCTGAGACCTTGTCTTCCCTGACACTGATCACCTGCCACCATCCTTACCGATGCAAGTGGAGGATAAAATGCTAAAACTCATTGTGAATGAGTGAATAGAACATTTTAACTTGGTATCGCTTTATGTTTGTTTTGCCAAATACGAGTAAGATGCGTGAGCAACAGAAGGTGATGTTCTGGGATTGTGGTGCGAGTGTTTGCTATTCTCAGAGCAAGTTCGGAGAGCTGCTGTGATTTAAAATGACCATCTCAGTCCTGTGGAAACTAAAACCACAAGTCTTTCAAGTATCACTGGGGCCAGAATTTCTCTCAAGAACTTACTTGTGCTAAGTGCCTTAGGAACAAGATCTCGTTCTTTTTTTGAAAGCACGCTATATTTTGTTTCAGTGACAGCCCGCACAGTGAGCCAGGCACCATCGATGAAGTTGACCATGACAACGGCACGGAGCCCCACACCAGTGATGATGGTGAGCAGAGACGTGAGCAGCAGAACATTGGGTCTGCGTTAGAAGAGCTGTGCGTGCAGGAAAGCAGTGTGCACTTCGCTCCTTATCAGAATAGAGGCTGGACTGGTGTCTGGCACTTTAGTCGGGGATGATGTTTTTGTGTGCTTAGCAATGAATATGCGTATTAATAAATGTTGCGTATAGGTTTTCAGCATAGGTTCTGCACGGACTTTCGCAGTGGTCTGCTTCCTTGGCAGGATACAGGGGTTGTTTTTCTGAAGCTGTTCTATGAGATTCCATTAATCCCATATATGACTTTATTTTCCTTTTCCTTGTCATCTGTGTTTACGTGCAGCCATGCGCTGGTGCGGACACGCTGTGTGGAATGGCTAACGAGAGCAGGAGGGGAGGCGGGGGGCTGACATGGTGGGGACCAGCTCTGTTCCCTCCGGGCGCTGGGATGCACTATGAGGAAAGCAGTGAATGTCAGTGGCCCCAGTGGGGGCCCTCTGAAATGAGGGGGTCTTTCAGGTGGTTTCACTGGGCTGTGGATCCTCCCCTGCGGAGGAGCCATCCCCTTGGCAGAAATGAAATGTCCCTGTATTCAAGCGAGCTGCAGCCTGGTTTTCCCTGCAGTCTGTTCTGTTTCCTTTGGTGACAAAATTCTCGCCTGCTCATTTCTGCTCGTGTCAGGCCCTTTGGAGGGCGAAGCAGGACGTGTTGTGAGCCGGGACTGCGTGGATGGGTGCAGCCAGGTGTGAATCCCTTTGCAACTGGATGCGTCACCAGTGTTCTGTAACGCTCGGGAGAAGGCTCAGGTCCAGCTTTCCATAAGCTCCTGTCTGCCTGCACATCTGTGTAAACCAGCTTGGAGTTTCACATGTGAGCTCTCAGTAAAAGCTGTGAAGCTCACAGAGATCACAAAGGTGAGCGTGGAAACAGGGACGCTGGCAGAGCTGGGCAAGAAGCATGTTGACTCCAGGACGCGGTCCCAATGCAGGAGGAAGGGCTGTGCTTCCCGCACCCTGGAGCCGCCAGCAGCTCGGCCGTGATGTGAGGCCGGGAGACCCCGCTGGCCCTGCTGAGGGGCAGTGAATGTGCAACCCCACAACACCGTTTAATGGCAGGACTTTGCTGCATTGGAAGGGCACCAGGGAGCTGAAACACCTCTTCTGCTTTCTCGAGAGCTGCTGTTTCCGTGGATGCATCCTGCTCCGATAAAACACTGACACCTTCCGAGGCTGGTGGGGTGGTGGGATGGGAGGGCTTGCCCGGCTGGGGGGACACTGCGAGGAGGAGGAGGAGGGCACAGCTGGGCCGGACGGCTCAGGACCTGCTTTCAGCTACAGACAGGAGCCGACAGGACTAGAAGATGACGGGGAGCAAAGTGCCGTTTAGCCAATTTTATGCTCTGATGGTCACATTAATAGCTCTGATTGGAGTTTCTGGGTGATTAACTGTGGTGCAAGTGTAGAGAAGAGGAGCAGCTTTATTTTGCGAATTTACATATTCCTTCTTCCCCTCTTCCTCGCCCGGCGCAACCTCCCTGCTGGGAAACTCAGCATTTCATCAGGGCTCTGAGCGCCCTCCTGGTTGCCTCCCCTGCTCCGTTTCCTCCGGAGCGTTCCCCCTGGTCCTGCTGCAGTGCTCCCAGACACCCTGCCGCTCGTATTGGTGTGGATGTGTATTTTAAGCTGGGGAAAACCAGTCTGCTGAAGTGACCTGTCCTGCCCGACGTGAGGCAGGGAATGGTCCAGCATCTCCCATGTCCTCCTCCGGTGTCCCCTCCTCCGTGTGGGTTTTGTCGCTGAGCACAGCAAAGAGTTGCATCCTGATTGCTGCTGATGCCGAGCCTGTGGTTAGTGACGAGGCAGATGGAGCATAGCAAGTTTCTGTACTTTAATAAGAACATGACAGATCTAGAGGAAGTGGGCAGGTTTGCCCAGTTCTGTTTAGCTTTGCCCAAACTGTTTAGCTTTGTCATCGCCTGTCTGCCAGTCTCCAGGTGGGGTCTGAAATGGTCGGGTGTCTCAAAGCATCAGGGTACATTAACTGCTTGCTTGCTGGCTCCAATAGTGGCTAGAGCTGGCTGGGTGGTAGCAGCCTGCTTTTTCACCCCTGTCTCGGAGCGAAGTGAGGCGAAGTGCAGATTGCTGCTGCCGGTGCAGAGAGAAACGCTGTCACTGCTTTGCAATCGCTGCAGTGGTTTCTCTGGGGTGCAGTGCTCCCAGCTGGAAGCAGATGTGCAGAAGAGCTGGGCTCCTCAGTGCCAACCAGGCTCCTCTTTGGGTGCACCAGCAGCTCCCGCTGTGATGCCCGTGACCAGGGGCTCAGAGGTTCCCGGTGTGCTCGCAGCCTACCAAAGTGAAGTCCTGCCTCAGTCCTCTTGAATTTCAGGCCCTGAGCTCCCAATTTGTGAGTCCCTGGTGTTTGGTAGAGCTTGAATTAGAAAAAGCAGTGAGGTAGAGTGCTGGAAGGTCTGCAGGTGTGGCGGGGTGATGCAAAGCAGCTGCCTGGCCAGAGCCGTTATCATTGTTTCTATGGGGATCCCCAAAGGGGGATTCGTTACTCATCAATAATTCAGGCCAAACTGTCTTCAGGATAAGGAAAGGAAAAGAAGGTAAGCGGGGCTTTGATCACAGTATCTGACGCAGCTTGACAAGATCCCAATCTGGAGGATAATGGAGTTGTGTAACCAAAGAAACCACTTTATAGGTAGAAAATGGGAGTGCGGGTGATGATGCCATATGCACACAGGGAAATTTCAACTACTCCCCATCTTGTTTGTAGCTTTTTGTAATTGCTGGTGGTTTGTGAGTCTGTGAGAAATTCCAGGAAGGCTGGAAGAAGAAAAAGAATTGATCCATCTAAAAATAAGATGGTTTGTACTCGGTGTAAGATGCTCTCAGAAAGCTAGGGCAGCAGCATTACTGCTATTCTGGTGAGATGTCTCTTTCTAGGATTTATTGTGCCCTCACGATTGTCGAACTAAGCTTTTCTCTGTCTGTGCTTCTTCCTTTGCAGAAGTGGAGCAGATTGAAGCTATAGCAAAGTTTGACTACAGTGGACGATCTCCACGAGAGCTCTCCTTTAAGAAAGGGGCCTCGCTCCTCCTGTACCATCGGGCATCAGAAGACTGGTGGGAAGGGAGACATAACGGTGTGGATGGCCTCATACCCCACCAGTACATTGTGGTGCAAGACATGTGAGTAAAGTGGCGTGTGTTGATCCAGAGTGTTAAAATCACATACACACACCAGGTCCACTTCAGACACCTAAAACAGGTGTTCTGACTTTCCGAGATTTAATGACTTTGGTGAGAAATCTGGACCTGTTCACATCTGCCTCTCCGTGTATTGGCTCGGATTGTTTCCCGTTCAAGCTCATAAAGTGAGGCACTAAATGCTGTACTTCAGTGTGCCTGAACCCCATCTTTCATTGACTCCTCAAAGCGGCGTGACTCAGGCTCAGTGTTGGCCTTGCCCACTCTGTACGCTGACCTGGCATTGTTCGGTGCCCGCCTGGGCTGTAGGCAGATCCCAGCGGCCTTCGCAGATGCCACTTCTGTTGCAAGTGCTGTACCTGGATTCATTAAAATGGCAACTACAGCACAGGGGGATATGGAGATGCGATGTTCGCTTCTTCCAAGCTCCAGGTACTGTCTGAAGTGGGGGCCTTGGTCCAGCCCCGTTGGAGCGGTGATGTTCAGATCCACGTTGTGGCCGGGCCCTAGCCCCTCTCCTGGGGCAGAGCCCTGTTACTGACGGGGGTCTCCTTTTCCTAGGGATGACGCTTTCTCCGACAGCCTGAGCCAGAAGGCCGACAGCGAGGCAAGCAGCGGACCGCTGCTGGATGATAAAGCCTCCTCCAAGAACGACATCCAGTCTCCGACGGATCATATTGTGGACTATGGCTTTGGGGGAGTAATGGGCCGGTAGGGAAACTCTCATTTTCCTCATTTTCCACAGAGGTGGTCACTGTCACGTGTGGGGAGAGTCAGCGTGTGGTGTAGGGCAAGATAGAAGGGAAGGCTCCAGTAAGCACTGCAGAATAACAGGAGCATGAAAGGGGTTTTCATGTGCATTGCTGATGTAGATCTTAACAAGTAAAGATGGTACAATGCTGTCCCTTTCTTGGCACTGGCTAAAATGTCTGTCTTCCCTCTTGCCTTAGTCTTCTAGAGCTGAAAGGCTCGCGTTCGGTTTGATCTGAACTCTCAGAGCTGAGTGATTGTCTTACAGCATGCAACCAGACGCTTTCGATCTGACGGACAGTGACCTAGTCTTGTGATGGATTCTTTGCAGAGTGAGATTGAGGTCTGACGGTGCAGCTATCCCTCGCCGTCGAAGTGGGGGGGACACCCACAGCCCGCCCCGAGGGATGGGTCCTGGCATAGACACTCCTCCTCGAGCAGCGGCCTGCCCTAGCAGCCCCCACAAAATACCTCTTAACAGGGGCAGGATTGAGAGTCCTGAAAAGCGCAGAATGGCGACATTCGGCAGTGCAGGCAGCATCAATTTCCCAGACAGGAAGGCCTTGTCTGATGGCCACCCGCTGAGATCGACCTGTGGATCGACTAGACACAGTAGTCTCGGAGATCAGAAATCTCTAGAAGCAGAAGCGCTTGCTGAGGTAAGAGGGTTGTGAAGTGGCTCTCGGTGCCCAGGGATGGAGAGGCTAAAACAAGTCACTGGGGTAGTGCCGCAGAGCCCCTTCCATCTCAACACACTTCAGAATCACAGTGCTGTTGTAGCTGAAATGGTTTAATGATGAAAATAAGCAGCCAACAGCTTGCCTGCTTTTCCAACTGTATGGGTTGGTCTAATAAAAATTACTGCCTCCTTCCACAAACCTTGTTTCTTCAAAGCAATAGGCAGACACGTTCGATCCACCACCAAAATGCGCTGGCAGCTCTTGCCTCCCGCAGGGAGGGCAGCACGTTATCTTCATCTGAGGCTCCATAACGAGCTTAAGAGGAGAAAACTGGATCTGCCAAATCAGAGTTTGACTGATGCTCAGTGTTTGGAGAAAAGTGCTTCAGGTTTGTACTGGCTGTTTGTAGCTAGGACCTCAAAATGTTAGTCTAATGCCAACATGATGCCTCCAGCCATGCAACATCATCGGCATCACATCAGGCCATCGCTTCCATGGTGCTCATTAAATTCATATTACCTCCAGCATAGCCTGCAGGTCTCCTCTCACTACCGCTGGGAGAAGGCCCCCAGCCAGGTAACCGGTCAGGTTGCACCAACCCTGTTAACATCTCGGAGAGCGGTCCTTTCACGGAGCGGGCTGCGGAATTCTCCAGCCTCTCAGGAACTACCCAGTTCAGGCACAGTCCCCGTGGGTTGGGCCAGTTTGGGGCTGTGGGGCTGGGAGTGCTGTGGATGGGCTGTTCAGCATCCCCTGTTTCAGCAGTTTCCCAGCAGTTTGCTTCGTGTCAGCCTCCGGCGGGAGCAGCAGCTGTGGGACGGCCGGTGATGCCCAGGCAGAGGGGTGCGGCTGCTGGGGAGGCTGCTGCCCACCGCCTGGCAGCAGCGTGTGTGCCACAGGCTTTGGCAGGCTGTTTGATATACAATCAGCTGCTTTCCGTGGGATAATTAAGGATGACTGCAGAAAGGAAGAACTCTTACTGTCCTGTTTGCTTTTCCACCAGCCACGCTCCTTGTTCTCTTGCTCTGCAGCACGCTCCCCAGCTTCTCTGTCCATCACGAGCTTGCGTTTGGTGTTGTCAATCTAGAAAGTTATGATCGTAGCGCAGCGTGTGCCCTGAGCGATGGCTCGAGCTGGGGCGTCACGTCCGCCTTGGGATGGGATAACAGCACGCACGACGTCCCCGGGCTCGGTTGATGGGCGGTAGCGTTGGCACCCCGCAGCGGTGCAGTGCGGGGCTGTGAGGTCCGGGCGCCTCCGTGGGATGGGTGAATGCTAAGGATGGAGCACGATATGGATGATTTTCTTGGCTTTTGGGGTTTGGGGTTGTTTTTTTAAACCTTGTAGAAGATTCTCCCTCAGCTGATGTAAATACTTACCTTGAAGTCTGTAGGACTGCTGGACTTGGTAGTCCAGAGGCTTCACTCTGGGAGAATATTTTCACTCCTTACCTGAACAGCTTAATAGAATTAACTTGATAAATATTTCTCTTGTTCTGATCCTCTGAATGTTATCTGAGGCTTATCGAGCATTTTATACACATTATAAAATTAATGACTCGTCTACACAAGGACAGCAAGGAGAGTTAACTACAGCTACTTTTTAAACAATTGATTCAGTTGCCTTAAATAATTTTTCAGATGGTCTCTTTCTGAGTTAGTGGCCTTAATTCAGTTAAGGTGGATTTAAGTGAAGCCAAACCAGGGCCTCTCGTATTTCTGAACGAGACTATGGGCACTACAGTTTAGGCAGTTTAGTTAATTCACTTCTAGTTGAACTGGACTCACCTTCTGGAGGATCTCCATGGGCAGGCCCACGGAGTTTTGGGGGGGGGGGTGGGCGGGCGGTGGGGGGCTGGGGCCAGTCGCGCCTCGGCTGCCCCCCTGCATAGGAAGAGGCCCTGTCGCTGCCTCTCTTCTGTTTACGGCGAGCTGCCATGGTGCTGCTTACTCCACATACATCCCTGTGCATTTCTGCACCCCACGTGCCATTGCCCCGTAGGCACAGGGAGAGCAGAGGTCCTGTACATCTGGTGGAGGCTGCACGGCCTCCTTTTTTTGGGAGAAACCAGCCTCAGTGTTGCGGGTGAGTGTGGAGATGCTCTGTCTTGCTGAAGATGTGGACAGGCTGGGGGTGCACCCATCCC